TTGAGTTTATTTTGAATTAAAAAAAGTATTTCAATTATAAATAATATAATCTTATATTTAAATATATTTATTACGAATTTTTTTTAAGTTTTTTTTTTTAATTAATTCTTATTTTTATTTTATTTTATTTTATTTTTTAACTTTTAATTTATATTTTTGTAATTTTTTTTTTTCTTTATTATTATAATAATAGATATAAAATTCTAATTTTTCTTTATTTTTATTTTATTTACTACTTATAAATTTATATTTTGCTTATATAGCTTTTTTTATAGCTTAAATAAATAATTTTATGCTTATTTATACTTAATCTTATTAACTTAGTAAGAAAGTATATTTGTAATAATATATTATTAGTTTTTTATTATTTTAATTTTTTAAGATATTAATTTAATTTTATTTTCTTTAAAATAATCTTGAGCTTTTTTATGATTCTTGAGAAATTTTTAGACTTTAAATATTATTTTTCAATAACTTGCAGAAATTTTTATAAAGTTAGAATCTTAATAATATGTAATAATTAATTTTTTTCATTTAACCTATTTCATAATGTCTTTTTCAATGTAAAACAAGTGTTCTTTTGCTAAAATATCATGTTTTATCAAATTAATAAATATATTATATAATATAAAGTTATCTTGAGAATCTTCAGATAAACTTTTATACAGATTATTTATTATTAATATTGTGAAATAACTCAGATTATCTTTTACCTTCTTTTAATATATATTTTATCTTGATTATTAAGATTATATAATTTTCAAAGTATAATAAATTATATTCTAATATATTTTTTAGCAGCTTGCTTAATACTCATAAATTCAATAAAAATTATTATTTTATGCTTGTCGATACTGGTTAACTGACTATGATAGGTATTATATTTATATTAAGCAAAATTTCGCCCAGTATATGAAGTAAAATAAAAAATAGGGTCAATAATAGCAAAAAGGTGAATATATTATTACACATGTAAATTGAATTTTCTTTCTGTGTTGACTGCACGTGAATATGTATGATTCAAATTATAATTATTAATTAATTATAAATGATAATACCTTTTAATGAAAATCACTAAATATCCAAATTTTGTGTCTATTTTCTAAATTGATCCCTTATACTACCATCCAATTGTATTATGAAAAAGTTGAAAAGCAATTTCATCTGTAAAACAGTTCAATTCCAATTATCATTTTGATATATTCGGTTCATTTTACTTTACGAAGTGGTTAAGCATTTGCATAGCTTTCAGAACATCATTTTTGTAACCAAGAAGTTTTAAATGTCATTATAATAGTTGGTTGGAATGCCACTTTATTTAATTTTATCGTCAAATTTCTAGCCCTATGAGAAAATTTTATCAGCAAACCTCTGTAATCACCTGTAATTTGTAATTAATGTATGGAAACACTTGTAATATGATATCCCTACCCTATAATCTGTAATAACCTGTATAAGCCTGTAATATATAATATAGATATCTGGAATTTGATTCAAAAATATAATAATCTGTATACACAATTAATAACCTGGATTGATATGTAATTTCAAAATTTTGAACTTAGTGAAATTTTTTCAAATTATAAAATCAAGATTTCAAAATAAACAAATCTCTTTGTTGTTTATTTTTTTTCTTTGTCAATACCACGCTATTCATCACAAAAAAAAACTTGTTGTGATTTGTGTTTGGGTCTATCCCAATATCCCGACACCCATCTTTCCGAAATTCGACAACCCAACTTTCCAACAATCCATTTTCCGAAATCTAACATTCCGACATTCCTAACTTCCCCTTCACAGAAATTTTATCAGGATATTAAGTTGTCAGAATGTTGAACTTCGGAAAGTTGAATTGTCGGAATTTGGATTGTTGAGATGTTGGATGGTCGGGAGGTTAGAATTTCGGGAAGTTGGGTGTTTTTTACCTTTTGTTCTAATTCGATTTATATAATAATAATAAATATATAAAAATATTCGGGTATATGCAGGTTTATAATCAAGGGGTTTTACACATGGAGAAAGAAAAGTTGTGTTGAAAACATTACACAATTCAAAGCAAATTATTCAAGAGTTTACACATGATGTAAAAATGAACGTCTTCTAAAGTGAAAATTACCTATTAAACTAGAAATTTTCAAAAATAGAGCTTAAATGCTATTGATTACGTAATAGAGAACCATATAATATATACCATACATGAACGCAATAAATGGATAATCATTATTTTAACAGTTTATTGGGATATCTTTTATAAACCGCGTAATGATATGATAAAACAAAATGGCGAAATTTAACCACCCAATATTCTACGTAATAATAACAAACAAGAAGCTTTCTTTTAATGTATCAAAAGTCGTTTCCTAGAATAGAAATGATAGCGATTATCTCTTTTTTTACTATCAATTAAAGCAATTCGATAAAAGCGCATTTTTATAAGATGGAATCAAATGCTCATATTGTAATGTATGTTTGGAATGGTTGTGTACAACGACTATTTGGTGATCGAAGTCATGATATACATCTTGTATTTATGATAAATGAATACGACCCATATTATTCCTGGATGGTGCACATTTATCGTTGGGATCTTATTCCTTTATCAGCTCTATCACATATATGATGATGAATAAGATTGGAAACTGAATTCTTTACATTTCAGTACTACAGTTCTTTAATATACTCAAACAGAAAAAGTTAAAGAATGTCTTAAATTAGAAAGGCAGTAATTAAATAAACTTGATGAGATGAAGTCACAAAAAAAGCATTCTTCAAATATAAGCAAAAAACAAGTCAGTCGAATATTTTCCAGAAAGAATCAATTGATACAGGTATTCAAATCTATCAAACATTTAAGTTCTATGGTGTTAGTTTGTATGTTCCAAACGAAGGTAATTTACATTTGATGTCACCAAATTCTTTAATTTATTATTTTTCATTGTTTTCCTTGGTGATAAAAACAAAATCGAATTCTGAAATAAGCAATAGTATAATCATCACAGTGCAGTGCATTTAAGAGCCTATTTTTGAAAAAATTAATTATATTAGAAATAAAAAGCAACCTTCACTTTAGAAAAAGTTCATTTTTCACCTCGTGTATAAACTCTGGAGTAATTTATTTTGGATCGTGGAATGATTTCAAAAAAGTTTCAATTAAGACCACATTTGTGAAATGGTCCATTCAATCTGGTTTGCTTTACAATTGATCCAAAACCTCCTTTTTGCAAGATGTTCAACGGTGGTAAATCTTTCAAAAGGGAACTAATCCTTTTTTATTAAATTTGTTGAATGCTTTTATTAGATTGTCGAAATCTTTAATCTGTTGGAAAATTCAATTCGACAATCATAATATTTTTTACATTATGAATATTATGAAATAAACACTCATTGCACACTGTTTCGATCTTCTTCTGGTTATATGTCTACTGTCTACTGTCTTTAAATATGGATAAAGATATTATTCTGAAATACAATGCTAATAAACTGACTATTAAATATATTTTGACTTCAGTTAATTCATGTTCTCAGCGATAAAAGATTACGACTACATATACCGATACGTAATGACAAGAGTCAGATGTATTATGGACAGCTTCAACTTTGGTGACAGAAACGATAATGTTAAAATTTTGTTAGCTTATCAAACATTTTTTTGTTAGTTGTCTCTTTCATCATACGATTTATCAATAAAATTACTATAAATTTATTAATTTCAACCATAAGTTAGAAGTATAGTGTGGAATCATTAACCTAGTTAGATATGATTTGATAATCATGGCGTTTAGAAATAACAGTAATACATGCAATATTATAGCATATTCAGAGCAATAGAACAACTAAGATTATTGTTATTGTTATTGACATGTCTGAATTGACTGTTATTGTAGTTCCTCCGGATAATCCGATCGATGATGATGAAGTTGTTTCCGGTGATGAGGTTGTTTTCGGTAATGGCTGTGATGGTGATGGCGCCAATGATGTGTCTTCCGACGTAGGTGTTGGTAATGACGTTGCTGGTGGTGATGCTGCTGGTGCCGATGCTGATGGTGATGCCGGTGCAAATTCACAATAATTTTTTTTGCAGACTTCGCCCGCTCTACAGCAACCGTCTCCACAATCTACAGAAGTTTCGTCACATAAACCGCTACAAACATATCTAGAAACCTTTCTGATACAGTGTTCGTTGTTACCACAACATGCACTACTGGTTTTTGAACATGAGTGATATCCAGCTGGGCAACTATAAGTAGCTCTTGACACTAAAGATGAGTTTTTGTAGACTTGTTCCCCGAGAAAGCTCCGCATAGCAAAAGGAAATAAATCGTCTCTTCTTACCGTAGCAAACACGAAATTGCTGAAGGTCATAATGGTGAAGATAAGTGTTAAGGTAAGGTTTTTCATATTGAGTTTTTTTAAGTGTTCAAGATTATACGTTGTGGAATTAACGAATTTCAACACTGTGTGCTGTAGGTATTTATAAATAAGTCCAGTCATCCTTCGCTCTTTATTCTCCTAATTTAAGTGACCCATAGTAATACAAACACTTTATCACTCTGCACATATCGCATTTTTAGAATTTTGCAATTGACGCCAATATATCCCTTGTTACAGAATTGAGTAGCGTGACAGAAATTCCGACAATGTACTTGACATTTTTGTACATGTATGAGGTGACATCGATATATACAGTATAATTTTATTTGCTTTATTTTACTTTCATTCAATACTTATGTTTTAATCAAAGAACATATCCTCTAAATTAATACCGATGAAGAATGATCGTACTTATCGTTACGACATCTTAAAAGGCGAAACCAAAATTTTTATTGCTTTATAAAATTATATTGCAAGCTCTTCTTTTATTTCATTTTTATTATAAAATGCACTCTTAGAAGAAAATTTAAAATTCATTCACACCTTTGTGTAATCGTATGCATGCAAATTGTAAAGCTTCTAGAAACTCATTGTAGGCTGCGTGACAAAAATTTGCGATAATGGATATACATGTATACTTGACATATTTGTACATGTATGAAAGAAAAATTACGTTGACATCGATATACATGTATAATTTACTTTCTTATGTTTTATTCAAAGAACATTTCTTATAAATTAATACACATACGGAATGATCGCATTTATAGTTAGGAAATGTAAAAGACGGGACCAAAATTTTGTTACTTTACTGGAATAAAATCATATTTGTAGTTTGTCGATAAATTATTATTGATATTCTTTTAAAAGTGTTTTCTTAATGAATAATCACCCAAAAGTCGTGAAAGTTTGTAAATTTATGCTTAGATATCAGGAACAAGATTTCAGAAGCCTATTAACGTAATGATATTTTGCAAAATTTTGTATCAAAGTTGCAAATTGAAAATTTAATAGTTAATTAGGTATAAAAATTATTTCATAGGAAATTTGAAAATAATTTCATGAAAATCTAATTTAAGACATAAAATAATTTGAGAATTTTTGGTTCATTTTCTTTAATAAATTTCAATCAAAAAACAAAGGCCTTATTATTTAACATATCTACAAATTCTTATGACTTTATTAAGAAAACTAGTATTTTAGCCATGATAAAAATAAATCACCGATTTACCAACATAATATTCAATTAACAAGGCTTATTCCGAAGCAGTAGCACAAAATAAAAATCAATAATCCAATTATCAAAGAATAATCAAGTTTTATTGCAAGAGGAATGCCTTCGATTCATTAAGCATAAAAGAAAGAAAACTTTCAATTTCATTATGGCCACAAAGAAGTTGAAATGCTGTTAAATAAGAATTAGAAAAAAATAATTTTTTCTTCAAATTACATATTGCCTGTCTCTGACTTTCGAAAACTATACTTTATATACAATTTGGCGATTTAATTACAGATCATAATTCAGGGGGTCTAAATATAAAGTGAGAATTTTACTAAGAATTTTACAAAAAGGAATATATATATGCTTCGAGATAAAAGAGATTAATAAAATTAATAAAAATGAAATGAAAACATTATGTACGCTAAAAAATGTGAATTTTTGTAATACAATACATAATCAAATCACAAGATAACAACAACAAATAAAAGAAAAATATATTTTAAAGTTATAAAGAATCATATAATTCAAAATTGATGATAAAGTTTTAATATATAATATAAAATAATATATTATTTATAAAAATAAATTCCAATTACAATAGAATACAAAATAATTTTATATTTATAAAACTTTTAATAATAGAATTTATAAATTATAAAACCAACATAATTAATTATTATGTAAAATATTTAATAGTACTTAACTAAAATATTATTATAATAGAAATAACTACTTTAAGTTAAGAATAATTATTAAATATATTGAAATATCATTAGCAGAAGAAGAAAATAAAAATTAGATTTTTAGTCTTATAATATTTATTTATTTATCTCTTAATTTTATATAAATCTTATTTAGTTATATATATACATATTAATCTCTTCTTAAAAAGTTTATTTTATAAATATAAGACTTTTACTATGATATTTTCTTTAAATTTTTATTACTTTTTAGTATTTTAATATTCTTATTATTAGTTTAATTTCTTATCAATATTTAACTCTTTAAAAATGAATACTCTTCTTAATAATCTTAATTTTATTTAAAATATTCTTGTTCTTTACCAACAATTAAAAGATAATGAATTTAATAGAACTTTATAAATTAATAAAGATTAGTTAATATTTAAAGATAATAATTAGAAAGTTATTTATGATTTTATTACTGGATAATAACTTAACTTTAGTATAATTTTAGAAATATCTCAAGAATCAGAATCAATTATAAAAGAAGCTTCAACTCAAATAGATAAATTATAGAATAAAATAAAAGTAAAATGATTTGTGGATATTATTAATATTGAAGTATCAAGAACAGCAATTATGGCTAATATTACTTATCAATTTTAATTTAATCAAAGCTAGAAGATAAGAGTTTAGATAATATTTAATAATATATTTGAAAATCATAATAATCAATCTGATAAATTATAATTTATTAGATATTATTATTTTAGATAATTATTAAAAGAAATATCAAGATAGTATTCTTGAAAATTAACTGAATTTCAAAGAGAATTAGCTTAGTTAAAAGAAATAACTTTAATTAGAAGATATTTTCTTCTTGAAAAATGAATTATCTAACTATTATCAAAATATAAACTTGAAAGATCTATAACTTTTAATAAATTATTTATAATAATTTTATGCATATAAGAAATAATTAAATCAAAAAAATTTTGAAAAGAATTTGATTAGTCTTACTGGAGCTTGATCTTACTTAGAGAGACTGAATATTATTATAATAATATAAATTTCTTAAATTCATAATTTTTTAAATTTCAGATTTTTAGCTAATCAATTGATCTTTAGAAAGCATATAATTTTAATGATTTAATTAGTATATTAATTATGAATTCAGTCATAATTTAATAATAGTTTTATAATACTTTAGCAATACTTTAAAATTATATAATTAGCTTAAAAATTAATAACAATTCACAAATAGTTTATTAATAATTCAGAAATATTTCAAAAATAGTTCAAAAATAAATTTCATTTATTTTTCTTTATTATTTTTTCTTTTTAAAATATTTATCTTATCTTTTTATTTTATCTCATCATTTATATTATCTTTTAACTTATCATATATATTTTATCTCTTTATTTTACTTATTTATTTATTAATTTTTTGTTTCAAAAACTTGTAATTATAAAATAAAATAGCAAATAAGTTATAAATAAAATTTAGATAAAATTTATAAGATCTTAAAAGATATATAAATATCTATACTCTCAAATATAAAATAAATATACTTGAATAGTAATAATTTAATTATTATTAAAAATACTTGAGTTATATTTAACTTGTAATTTTCTTTTAATTTTTATCTTAATATCTTGCTTTTAATTATCTTTTCTATTATAATAGATTATATTCTGATTAATTATATATTTTTTTATCTGAAAAATATAAGTAATAAATACTCTCTATTTAAAATAAGCCAAGTATTATTACCGTAGTAGCATAAAAATCCCTAATTCTTTAATCTTTTCGTGGTTATGCAAAATCACATTTTCTTATGACTTTTACATT